AGAGAGGGGGGATCTGTCATTTATGATTGGCTGATGTGAGAACATCCGGTTCTGTATGTGTGTCTGTGTACGAAACTGTAAGTATGGTGTGAATGCTGTGTGGGTGTGGGCTTTGGTTTTATTTTCCCCAGTTATCCGCGGCTGAGTGATGAGCGGCGGGGAGGGAAGGTCGAGACAGTAGCGTAGAAACACTGATGCTTAACTTAACAAGACGTGCCTTGGGCCTTGAAGTGTTCACTGCCCACATCTGACGCACAAGTGCTCAAAAGTGTCAGTCCAGCCTGGTGTCAAGGATAAATGTAAAATAGTCACGCAAAAGAAATCAATTTGTGTGTGTTTACGGACCCGAGCAACCAAACACAAACCATCCTCTGCTAACGCTAACAAAGTAGCTTATATTACCTATTCCTAACTAAATAGATTTAACACCGAACCCTGACCAGTTGTTTATGCTTGAACCTAGCCAAGTTGATGTTATTACCTATTCCTGAGAGAGTAGCTGTTACTGAATGACCTTAACTGACTTGTTTACTTTGCCTAACTGTAAAGAAGTACTTTTTAATGACTGTTTATAACACAAATTTAAGAAAGAAAATCAGTTAAAGCCTAAGACAAACCAATCGTTGGTGTAAGTAATGAAAATAAACACTTTTGAAGATTTCATTTTAGGTTCCTCAGCTCTAAAAGTTGATCGAGATATACTGCTGAGAGTTGCTGACCCATCCTTTCATCGTGTGAGCTGTCCGACGCTACAGTCACAGGAAAACAGTGGTTGGGAACCAGAGAACAAATAAAATTATTGCAACTGTGTGCAATGATTCTCATTGCTTTTGAAATGATTGCTAGTAGTTGTAGTCAATTGCTATTCTTCAAGCAACTTTGTTGCATTAAGACAGCAGGAAAACAGCAACAACAAAATAGCGAGTGAATGGTGTTTGTGCCCAGATTTTTTTCAGAGTTGTAAGGCATATCATTTTATCAGTTGAGTCCCTCTGAATCATGTTATGTATTTATTTTTTCCATTTTGTACTTTTTTTTGAAAAAAATGGCATTTTTATGACTGGCAACAATTGTTGCCAGTAGTCACACAGCTTGTCACTAGGTCAAATGTCACCTAATAATAATAATAGAGAAGTAATAATAATAATATAATAAGAACAAAATAATAATATAGTCATAATAAATAATAACAAAAAGGTAGAGCCTCAGGTTCCCCCTGTATAAAATTCAAAACATCAAACAATTTGAACTGATTTCTTTATTCTCAATTTTTTTATACTCAAAAACTCAACAAACATTTTTTTCTTAGAACCTCTAAAAACATAAAAACATAAAAACATATATAACATATTTCTTCCCATACATTCCATCATCTTTCATGCATGTTCTACTCAGTGTGGTACTTCTTGAAGCACTCCACATGTAGTGGCACATCACACTTTCCACACGCAAATGATGTGCGTCCGCCGCAGTTCTTGCATCGCTTGTACCTGCTACCAGTGTTGCAGGGCCAGTGGTTCAAATTATCAAACCTGGTGGCATCAGTTATCGCCACCGCCATTGAAGATCTTCTGCCCTGCCTACTTGGCTTTGTTCCATGGCGCAGGAGGAGGGTCTGGGCTACCAGCCTCTGGAAGGAGAGGAGATCCTTCTCCCCGCTTTTCCAGGACCTAAATGAATGACAAAACAAGCATGATAGATGCATGAATGTGCATCGTTTCATCCTTTCTACAACGTCATGCCCCATATGTAGAATGTTCTGTAAAAGCAATATCACACTTGAGTTTGTGATGTTGGTCTGGATATCATCACTGTTGCTCTTGTCGACCGAAGAGCACTAGCGATGACCTCGAGTCAAACATCACCAACTCGATTGTGATATCACTAAATAACATACAGCCTTGTGTACCTGTAATAGCACCAGCTGTTCACCATGGCACTGTTCAGGGCCCAGCTGAAGCATGGCCACCACCACTTCTTGGACCGGATGTTGACTCTGTAGCGGCTGACAAACTGGTCATGCAGGTCCACTCCTCCCATGTGTGTGTTGTAGTCCTGGATACACTTGGGCTGTCTGACCTTGTCCATAGTCCGCTTCTGTTTATTCCATCTCTTCGCCTCAGTTTCGGTGAACTCCCTCTCCATGTTCGACACCACGGTGACCACGCTGTTGTCATTCCACCTTACAATCAGCTTCTCTGCCTCAACCAGATACTCAGCATCTCCTCTGGGTGTCTTCTTGAAGGTCTGGGGTGCTGTGAAGGGAACGTTATGCAGCTGAGTTTGTCGCATCGTGCCACACCTGCCATAGCCTCTCAGGGTCATCTCATCCACCAGGGACAGGGTTGTGAAGAGGTTGTCGTGGTAAAACTTGACTCCAGGTGGCACTTCAGCTTTCTCTGCCAGGCCAAGAACCACACTTGGACCCTGACCAAGTCCAGTTTCCACCAGATGTGTGTGGCTTCCTACATATGGCTCCATCTGATGGACAAACCCGGAGGAGGATGCTAAGCTCCATATTTTATACCCAAAACGAATAGGCTTCCCTCTAATAAACTGTTTGCACCCATGCCTTCCAAAATACTCAATCAAATAAGTAAATTAGGAGCAATCCTGCAGACAGTGTTTTCCTTTAGTTAGCGACATGCTATGTGCCCACTGGCAACTTTTGTTGCCACTCACAGAAATAAGCCCATGAACAAAAAAATATTTATCCTAGGTACAATTTTTTTGGGGAGGGTTACTCTAGAGACTTGAATGATTAAATAATTATAAATATGTTTGGGGGGAAAGTCATAAGAAATTTATGAAAATTACCTCTTTCCAGGATGATTTGCATCCGCCATGTCTTCAGCCAGAAAGAGCGGGAAGCAGATGATGTCATGCGATAGGAAGCACTTGGAAACGATTTTTTAAAAATCAAAACCTTTGTCTAAGTTGTCTACTAGCATATAAGTGGAAAAAGTTGCATTAGTACCTTTGAGATTTTTTATTGTGAGTCGAAAATGACAGTGATAAACTTTGGCAACAATTGTTGCCAGTGGGGCAAAACGGCTTCCTGACAGCCTGATGGATGAAGCTGTCCTTCAGTCTGCTGGTCCTGGCCTGGAGACTCCGCAGTCTCCTCCCTGACGGCAGCAGCTTGAAGAAGCTTTGCATTGGGTGCGTGGGATCAGCCGCTATGCAAAGGGCTTTTTTAGTGAGACGGGTGCTGTAAATGTCCTGGAGGGAGGGGAGAGAGACACCAATGATCCTCTCTGCAGCTCTCACTATGCGTTGGAGGGTTCTATGACAGGACGCATTGCAGGCTCCAAACCACACAGTGATGCAGCTCGACAGGATGCTCTCGATGGTGCCTCTGTAGAAAGTGTACATGATGGGGGCTGGTGCTCCTGCTCTTCTTAGTTTGCGGAGAAAGAAGAGACGCTGCTGTGATTTCTTGGCCAGTGCTGTGGTGTTGTACGTCCAGGAGAGATCCTCTGTGATGTGCACACCCAAGAACTTGGTGCTGCTCACTCTCTCCACAGACGCTCCGTCAATGGTCAGAGGAGCATGTTGGGTGTGCATTCTCCTGAAGTCCACAACAATCTCCTTCGTCTTCTCCACATTCAGAGAGAGATTGTTGTCAGCACACCACGTGGCCAGGCGTCTCACCTCACTTCTGTAGTCGGTCTCATCCCTGTTGCTAATGAGACCCACCACCGTTGTGTCGTCCTTATACTTATGATTACTTACTATTACTTTATTTACTGTATCTTTTGAAAAAATACAGCAATTTTAACAGCACAAGACTTAAGAATATTTAACAGGAGCAGGTTTCATTCTTCCCTGGTTTTATTATCACACTGTTCACCAAACGCAGCAAACCTTCACCATCTTATCCAGAAGGGTCACCTCTTCACCCTCACATGGAAGAAGTAATCTGATTGGCATGGTGGTTTGTTTGAAGCAGGTCCCTTGTGTAGCGCTGGAACCAGTCAGATGTTTCATCCATTTCATGGCTGGTTTGCTGCAATAATGCCAAATAATTAGCAACTCTATAAATAGAAGGTAGTTCTGCAAAATCACTCAGTAGGATGTTTGTTCTAATTTGCTATGAGCTAGAGCGCATAGAAAATAAAACTAATAGGTTATAAAGAGTGATATGAACATATTTAGAACTTACCGGAATGAAAATGTCTGGAGCACCAACAGATATTTGGAGATGGAAGAGAGCTGCACGTCAGCTCGTCTCACAGCTGCTATCCAGGCTGGACGCCTTCGTTTGGTAACATCGATACACGAGCTGCCTCATGTTGCTTCCAGGTTGGGAAAGAATGAAAAGATAAACCCTTTTCAAGCTTATTCTCTTGCCGGTCGTGCGATCGAACATTGCAGCCGACCACACAGCAAATACGAACCATGGCTGTTGTGTGTGCCTTCGCTCCCTTTTCACTTGCGCTAGACCCCCAAAATGGCGGATCGGGCCAAAATCCTTTCCACGCCCACCCCCGTGACATCACGCTCCAAAGCCCTATTGGGACACCGCCACTGTGTTTCATTCAGTCTGTGTCGCGTCGTCTGTGTTCCACGCCCTATGTCATGTCAGGTTTCAAGTCTCTGTGCAGGTCATGACTCATGTTGCTTATTCTTATATTTCATAGTTCCTTCATGTTCTGGCACAGTCTTGTTCATGGTCTCACTGTTCTTCCCAGTTTAGGTTCCTGTTTAGTTGTTGTCCCTGTTCAGCTCTTGTTTAGTTTAGTTCATGTACTCCAGCCTCAAATAAAGGCTCGCTTTTGTTTAAAGTTAATTTTTTTTGCTCATCTGTGTCCGCACCTGGGTCCTCCAAACACTCGACCACACGGTCAGCCACTGCGGACCGTGACAGTCTGACTCTTGTAACATAATTGGTTTTGTGGGTTCCAGGTTTTATTTTATGTATTTATTTATTTAGTTTTATTTCAATAAGCAGCTGAAGTGTAGGCAGTGCAGGAAGTAAAGTATTTTATATCTGAGCTGGTTCCCAGTAAAGTCTGAACTGGGACTGCACGTGATGCAGAGTGGTGGACATTTGAGGTTTTATTTAACTACACAGCTTGTAATCATGTTTTCTGTTTGAACTATGTGTGTTTGTGTTCAGACTTTAAACCAGAGCCAGACGTCGTCTACTCTTCACTGAAGTAGTCCACCAGTCCAACCACTGATGTCCAGCTGCTGGCCTCTAACTGGTTCCCCAGCACCTCAGACAAGGAGACATCCACAAGTTCAAAAGATTACTCAGATTTTTTTCCACTTATTTAAACTCATATGCTTCAAAAATCACATAAGTTTAACTGGAATTATTTTAGTACTTAAAATAAACAATGATAATAAAGGCACTCTATGAGTTTGGCACTTTGTTCTGTTTCCCATATTAGTGATTTTGTTTCACTATAGGATTAATAAACTTTTGTTCACACTTTTTTTTCTCATGTGGTTCTTTTGTTTTTGACAAAATATAAAGGATAACCATTTTAATAATTTCAAAACCATAAATTTTAAAACCAGAAAATAATTTTATTTTGTACAGTTTCCTCCTTTTGAAGAAGCAGCTGTGTGTGTATAAATATGGAGGCTCAATGCTGTCTGTGTAAAATAAAGGAAAGAAAATAATAAAAATACAGAATCATTCTTACACTTAATGTGAAATTAGCCAGAGGGATAAAATTATTTACTTGATGACTCTGGCCCTAAGCCAAGCAGTTATCAGTCCTCATATGAGTCCTGCATCAACCCAGCATCCTAAATACAACCCACAGAGTATTTTCACAGTAAAAGTCTTTTATACTGTCACACATTGGGTTATGACATTTTTTAAAATATATTGTTTAAAAATGACCTCAGTGACCTTATAGTTGTTATTTAGATTCAGTGGATTAACTGTTTCACTTTTATTAAAGCTTCACTTTACTATTTACAGATGAACATCATGTGGAGTTAGTGTAAATCATTTGAAACACATCATATCAAATGAATTCAATCAGTTTTATCATCTGAAGAACCAGAAGCTCTCAGACTTTATCTGACACAATATCAAGAAGAAAATCACTTCAGTCACAAAGAGGAAATGTACTCAGTTACTCTCCTGTACTCTAATTACAGTCATGTGATTTCCAGGAAGTGCTGCAGAAGCTGCAGGTGCTCTCTCTCCCTGCAGACTATTTGCTGCTACCCATCTTTTCCATGTTTTCTCTGTGTGTGTTTCTGCTGCTTCTTTGTCCTCACTGTAAACAGATGTACTGAGAGACTCCTGCACTGATGTTTCATAGGAAAGTCCAAACAGCCTCACTGGTTCTCTGTCTCGTTCATCACAGTTCTAAACACATATTTAAGTGAATATAATCTTCACGCTCAGTTAAAATGACTTTTATTAAGAACAGCACATCCTCAGTATTACTATAAAATAATTATTGATGTTCTGATGATCCATGTTCGTATTTAAAGTCAAACTTCTCTCTCTAGTGGCCATATATAAACCACGTGTGAGGATAGGGTCCATTCTCCTCTGCTTGTCCTTAACAGGGTCATAGTGTACAACAGGTCAGCAGGACTAACACAGAGAGACAGATTTCCATGTGCACTTAAACTTATGGGCAATTTAAAATCACCAATTAACCCAAATAACTTTTTTGGACTGTGGGAGACAGTCAGATCTGACCCATGCAAACACAGGGTGAACACTCCACACAGAAAGGCCCCAGTGAGATGGTGGAATCGATCCCAAAAGCCACTGTGTGAGGATGGTGTTCATGTAAAATGTGAATCATAGTGTTCCAGTCAGTCATCAGTGTGTCTCTGCACAGCTGTAATTAAAATGTGTTCAGAGGGCCTCAGTGTCTGAATGGTTCCAGTTCAGCTCCATAACAGCAGCGTCCCTGGTTTGATTCCTGTGTCACTTCATATGTCGTGTGCAACTTTGCCAAAACAATGTCGGACTCTGTAGTTTTCTCTGGTCCCCTCCCCAATCAGACCAGGAGTGACATGTTTAGCCGCATGTTCTCCTTAAATTGCTGGCTGTCTGAGTGGTGTCCCAGAAACGATGTGGGCTTCATAGATAATTGGCAAACCTTCTGGAGGAAACCTGGTCTTGTTAGGAGAGACGGCATCCATCCCACTTTGGATGGAGCAGCTCTCATTTCTAGAAATATGGACAAATTTATTAAACCCCCCAAAATATGACTATCCAGAGTTGGGACCAGGAAGCAGAGTTGCAGTCTTACACGCCTCTCTGCAGCTTCTCTCCTCCTGCTACCCCCCCAAAAACCCATCTCCATAGAGACTGTGTCAGCTCCAAACAGACAAAAAACAAACTAAAAACCAGCAACAAACAACTTAAACATAAACAATTACAAAGAAAGAACAATACAGTATCCACATCTGAACCAAAGAGTAAAACAGTGAAATGTGGATTATTAAATATTAGGTCTCTCTCCTCCAAGTCTCTGTTAGTACATGACTTAATAATTGATCAACAAATTGATTTACTCTGCCTTACAGAAACCTGGTTGCAGCAGGATGATTATGTTAGTTTAAATGAATCAACACCCCCGAGTCATTCTAACTACCAGAAATCTCGAAGCACAGGCCGAGGGGGCGGTGTGGCAGCAATTTTTCACACCAGCCTATTAATTAATGAAAGACCAAGACAGACTTTTAATTCATTTGAAAGCCTGATGCTTAGCCTCGTCCACCCCAGCTGTGAAACTCAGAAACCAGTCTTACTTGTTATCATCTATCGTCCACCTGGGCCTTACACAGAGTTTCTGTCTGATTTCTCAGACTTTTTATCTGATTTAGTTCTAGCTCAGATAAAATAATTATTGTGGGTGATTTTAACATCCATGTAGATGCTAAAAATGACAGCCTCAACATGGCATTTAATCTGTTATTAGACTCAATTGGTTTCTCTCAAAATGTAAAAGAACCCACCCACCACTTTAATCACACTCTAGATCTTGTTTTAACATATGGCATAGAAACTGAACATTTAACAGTGTTTCCTGAAAACCCTCTCCTGTCTGATCATTTCCTGATAACATTTACATTTACAATAATTGATTACACAGCGGTGGAGAGTAGACTTTATCAAAGTAGATGTCTTTCTGAAAGCGCTGTAACTAAGTTTAAGAATATAATCCACCCACTGTTATCATCTTCAATGCCCTGTACCAACACAGAGCAGAGCAGCTATCTGAACGCTACCCCAACAGAGGTCGATTATCTGTTAATAATTTCACCTCCTCACTACGTACGACTGCATCTG